CCAAGATAATGGCAGAAGTAGGGATAGCACGTCGCGTTTCTCTCTCAAACAATACAGTTCTCGACGAATCATTGATATGGCTAATAATGTGAAACAGATGTTATTATCTGATAGTTCTCAAAGTAGTTATTATACATTGCAAGTCGATGAGTCCATTGATATTGCGAATTTTGCCAATGATATGCCGTTTGTCAGATACGAAAAAAAACTCATGACGACTTTTTATTTCGCCAGCCTTTATTAGGTCACACAACAGGGGAATATATCTTTAATCCTATGAATACATTTATGCAAGAGAACAAAATTGAATGGAATAGATGTGTCGAAATGAGCACAGATGGAGCAAAAAGTATTAATAAAGAACTTGCAAGAATTCAAAATGTTGCCCTCGTATCCACACATTGTTGCATACACAGAGAGGCTTTGGTAACACGTAAGATGCGTATTGATCTACAGAAAGTTCTGGATGAAAGCGTGAAAACCGTTAACTATATTAAAAACCGTCCTTTTAATGCACGACGTTTTTCGCATAGATGTGAAGAAATAGGAAGTTGTCATACTCAGCTTTTTCATACCGATGTTCGTTGGCTATCTCGAGGAAAAATTCTAAATCGATAATTTCAACTTAAATATGAACTTCAATGTATTCTTAATGATAGATTTGAGTTGAGAAATTGTTTGCATGACTGGAAATGGCTTTGTAAACTAGCATTCTTAACAGATATATTCTCTGTTTTAAACTGCCTGAACTTATCGTTAAAGAGCAAGAAAATTTCATTGTTTCACGTTCAAGATTAAGTGAAACCTGCCATCGCAAAACTATATTTATGGCAAAAGAGAGTTAGTAATGGAGAAAAATGACTCTTTTCCCTTTTTTTTCTCTTTATGAGTTTATAACAAGTTCGACTGCTAAAATTGATGCTGATACTCTGAAATGCATAACACAGAATTTGGAGAGTTTGCAAGTGGGCTTGAAAAACTATTTCCGTGATTTAAACAAAAATCTTGAATGAATAAGATATCTGTTTAACATAACACTCATGCCTTTGTCGCATGCGGAAGAAGAGCAATTGTTGGAATTGGCTTCAGACGGATTCTTGAAAAATAAACATAAGGAGTGTACTTTAACATCATTCTGGTTACAGATGCAACATGTGTATCCGGTTTTAACAGAAAAAGTGGCCTTTTCCAACTTCATATTTATGTGAAGTTGCTTTTTCAGCATTTGTAGACATTAAGTCGAAAACTAAAAACAGGCATTTGGACGTGGAACTGCATTTCAGATTAAAATTAACAACCATGGAACCAAATTATGACGATCTGTCATCTCAGCACAAAAGAAGTCATCCTTCTCATTAATCCAAATAAATATTATTTATAATATAACTTTTATATATATTTTAATTATGAATAATTTTATTTCTCCTTTCTTATTACTTTGTGTATGTCACAAAAAACGAAAAAATAAATATATTTTCATTGTTATTACAATACATCCATTTATTTTTTGACGAGGGGTACTCAGAGTTACGAAAATTATAGAAGGGATACACATATGTCAAAAGTTTGGGAAACACTGACGCAGACAAAGAGAGGAGATCAAAACGGAAGTGAGATAGCAAATGATTGATGTTGGTACTGTCAAGATCAGTAAAAAAAAAGTATGTTATTTCAAGTAACAATAAATACCCAAGAAGTTAAAAAATTGTCATTTATAGCCGATACCGAAAATACATGTACTTTACCTTAGCAAACACCAGTTTCAAGAAATTGCAAAATAGCACGAAATGGTAGCGCTCGGCAAAGCGGTGTGGCAATCACTAAGTATGTAACTAAAAACAAAATATGAGTTTCGAAAAAGGTTTTAGTTTTAATGAATAAAGAGGTGAGCATTTCTTTATAAACTGCAACGAAAGGTATTGGTCAATAAATTGTTTTTTTTTTTTTTTTTCAAGAAGGGTATCTTTATCATAGAATCTCATAGAATTCGTCTTCTAGAAAACACTATCAGGCTTCGTTATTGGCCCCTAGCTAACTCCTATCATTATTTTCGAAAATTACAAAAGAAAAATAGTTCTAGCTCAATTAATTTTATATATGATTATTAGATTCTGATTCTGAAATAATAAAGCTTCGTTAGAAAATTAATAATGTAGCTTTAGCGTTTGAAAACTTATAACTTGTGTGTAAATGTTTCGGCATACCAGTTGCAGCAAAATTATAAATCAAAGAATCTTACTTACTAATAAGCCACAAAATATTACTGAGTGGCATTTAAGGAGTAAAATAAATACGTAATTATTGTAATATTTAATAAATGACCCCTCAAAAGAAGTTGAAAAGGACGTCAAATATCCAAACTTTTCAAATTAAATTTCTCGGTCAGTTGTTGTATTGGATTCAGACACTTTGTTTTTCAGATTTTGTAATTAGTACAAAAATTTACCTAGTATAAGATCCGGGAGACAGCATAAAATGTTAAATTTCGGAAATTTTAAAAACTGAATCTTTTATTTAAAAAATGTCAAAACGTGAATATTTGCGTCATTTAAACATTTTTGTAACTGGAAGTACAGGGTGATTATAATTAAAGTTTAAGTTTAAAAACGCTATAAAAAAAGAACCACTGATGAAAATGATGTGAAATTTGAAAGGAATGTTATTGAAGATTGCGGAAAGCGTATGGCAGAAGAAAAAATTTAGTTTCGAAAGTTAGCCACAGATGGCGCTGTAAGCGGCAGAATCACGACGAGAAATGATTCGTAAAACAACGGCTAAGGTGGAAGTTACACATTAAAACGTATTGAATAAATTAGAATTGTTGAATTATTTTTATTTGCATGACTGTACATATCACATCGAAAGGGACAAATCGGTTTCAAGAGTTTTGCGGCGACGTACCGCATAAGAACCATTCATCAAAAGAAGTTTCGGAACTGTCGCGAGACTGGCGCAAAACATGTTCAATATGGTGTCCACCATTGTGTGTAAACAAGTTGAAAGCGACAAAACAGCATGTTCCACAACGGATCGCAGTGTCTCCGGGGTGATGTTCAGAATGTGTCGTGAAATGCGTGCCTTTAATTCCGCTAATTTTCAATTGGAGCACGGAACACAAACATCCTTCAGATATCCCCACAGCCAGAAATCACACGGAGTAAGATCAGGCGATCGGGACGGCCAGGCTGTAGGGAAATGACGGCTGATAATTCGAGCTTTCCGAAAAAAAAATGGCGGGCTTCAGCAGCTGCTTCACGGGATGTGCAATGTGCGGAGGAGCGCCATCTTGCATAAAAAAAGATTTCATCCACACATCCATGCTGTTGCAGAGCTGGGAATCACGTGGTTGCGCAAAAGAGACGCATACCTTCTGACCAGTGACGGTTGCGGGTAACAGGACCGGAAGCACCCGTCTGCTCGAAAAAAAAATATGGTTGTAGGATGAATGATGCATAAAGCCGCACCATACCGTGACCTTTTCAGAATGAAGTGGTACGGGGTGCGTTGCCAATGGATTTTCTGTTGCCCGTATTCGACAATTCTGGGTATTCACGTCGTGTCAGATAAAAAATGGGCTTCATCTGTCCCACAAAATTTTTCCACGGCCTTCATTATCCTTCCATGCGAGCCAGGAATTCTAACGCAAACGTCTCCCTAGCTGTCAGGTCAGACGGGAAGCAACTCTGCACCATAGCCAATTTTGTACGGATAGCATTGCAGGATGTTTCGTACAATTTTCAGCAGTGTGCTCGTAGGCCTGTCTAGTGTTCCGGGCAATTCCTCGTGCATTGCACTGTTGCACACCACCGGCCGACTCCCTCCTGTAATGCTGTGACCATTTCTTCAACTACCGTCGAATACACTCGTTTTCTCCCTCTACCAGATTACACATCAAACGAACCTGTCGTTTTGAATTTTTGCATTATCATTTCTTTAGATCCTACGACACTCATTGGACCAACGCCTTCTTCTATATCCTTTAGTGTCCTGAATTTTTGCAGAACTACTCTTGCACAATCATCATTCTTGTAATAAAGCTTTACCAGCAGAGCGCGGGTCCTGAGTGAACACCCATGCGAACGTTGAGACGCAAAAATGAGGAACAGCCTGTTACCTGACGGCTTTTATAACACTGAAATTTAACTAACATTTTAATTTACGTCTTTTTCTGCTTGCAGCGCCATCTGTTGCTAACTTTTGAAACTAAATTTTTTCTTTTGCCATACGCTTTCCGCCTTCTTCAATAACATTCCTTTCAAATTTGACGTCATTTTCATGAGTGGTTCTTTTTTTATAGCGTTTTGAAACTTAAACTTTAATTATAATCACCCTGTATATGTCTACGACCAGCGGTTGCAAAAATAAAGGCTGAGTAATGACTTTTGTGTACACGTTGCATATTTAAATACAAATTTAATAGTTAATAGACACGACTCGCTTTAGTTGAGACTCCCCGCCCGACCTCCCTTAACTACCCATCCTGATATATCGGCTCGTAAGAAAGTCTTGTTCTGTCTTTCATAAACCCTAATGCATGGACTCTCGACAAGGCAGAAATTCCCATATAGGAGGATTCATAGATTCAGGGGCGGAGGAATGCGGTCAGTTTTTTTTTTATTTACCTGATAAACATTAAATTTTATTTCATGAGTAGGAAAAAAACTATTTTTATTCAAGTGTTGGTAGTTATGAACGTTTTCTGTAGTTTTTTTTGTTTAATTTATGAAACACATTAAAAATTATCTAAATTTAGATAAATGTATATGTATTTTTCGAGTTTTGGAAAGGTTGGGGGCCGCTTCTAGCAATCGTGAAAGTGGTTCATGTAACAAAAAAGGCTGAAAAGTACTACCCTAATATACCCTTTCGCTACGAAAACCATTTGGCATAGCTTTCTTTTCTTCTCTTCCCACAGACTCATTCTAAAGCGAATCGACTATATAAGAAACATATTATCATTTCCTCATGCCTCAAATAAATAGCTATATATATTTTTTCAGGCTTTTTCACGCTGTTGACTGGTTTCCAACTCTGTTAACCGTAGCTGGAGCGCAACCAGGTATAGTTGTTTGCCATCGATCTACTATAATTTTTAATCCAATCTTGACTAATCACGACATTCTTAGAAAATTTAGCACTGCAAAATTTTTCTTTCAGTTTCAGGCATAGATGGCATAGATCAATGGACTGTATTGAGTGAAAACGACACGGCTGTAAGAAATGAAATAATCTACAATATCTATGATTTAGACATACCTAAAGCAGCAATTAGGTAAGAGCTTCGATAAGTATGCTTATTAAAAATGTTCGTGTTTACTGTCCACGTATTAAACAGTGAAATCTATTTACAGAATTGGTGATTATAAATTGATACAAGGTTTTCCGGGTAAACCAACTGACTGGATAGCTCCAGCAGATAATTCAGACGCAAAGAGCATATATTGTACCATTAAGGAGAATAGTACTGAAGGTTTGGGGCAGATTTATAGACTTTATAATTTAAAAGGTAAGTTACTTTAATGAAGATTTATACCACATGTATGCATCGAACTGTATTGCAGTGTGGTCAGTGTAGATAAGAAATGCACGTCAGCAATAGGTGTAGTCTATTCTAAAAACTCTTTTAGATAGATCTATGGAAATTACATGAAAGGTCAAACTTTTTATTGTCATTTTTTTCAATAATTGTCATAGATTTATGAGACCAGATTCATCATGTAGGAATCAATCTACCAAGATAATTTGCTGTGCTATTTCGGTTACCGTATTTCCAATGTTTTTGTGTAACTGCACAATTCCATCTTCATGTCTCTGCTTTGCAAACGTGCAACAAAAATCAAGGACTAATAATGAAGTGCATTGAAGGAATGATATGAACATTTGTACAGAAACAAAACTCAACGCAACAGAACATGCAATAGAATCAAACTTTACGAATCTAACATCCTAATGTAAACCGAATAGTTGTACTCTAGAATGACTATGCCATATGCCTCATTAAGCAGGCAAGAAATTTCAAGAGAAAAGATGGATCCTATTGTTGAAGACACATTATCCACTAAGTAATAAGCGGAAATTAGAATCAGCATCTGCACAAGTTCAAATATCTAGGAATGATGTAAATAATCTCACGATATAAATAATACAATTTCTCGCGACTATCATGGTGATCGGGAAGGAATACGAATTAAGGAAATTTCGTATAGGAAAAAATATATTGTTTGAATAATTTAATTACTAGTATTTGTTTTTCCATTGGTGGATACTTAGCCGAGTTAGGCTTGGCTACTACTAAGGCCGGCTGGGGTAGCCACTTTATTGTAGAAGCACCTAATTAGGTGGGCCACCGTTGCCTCTTTTTATGAAGGGAGAAACAATTACAGCTGTACTTTCTCCGGGATTCGAATCATCCAAGCCATTTGGTGTCGCAGTAGGCTCTCCTAGCCTCTATACTGTCTGTGTGGTTAGTTATTAATATAAATATTAATATAATATACGGCATTTTATACAGTTTCTTTCCATATTCAGGGAACTTTTCACTCCCATTTTTGAAGAATTCTTTTGGTTTTACCACAAACTATTGACTTATTACATTTTGGGTCTTTTATTTACTGCAGAAGTTTCAACTAATCAGAAAATGTTGCAATGACCTAAGCAGATAACACTTCGAGGAGCAATATATAGATTTTAAAGTCCGAGAGGCAATGTATGGATACTAAAGCCGGATAAGTAAAAATTTTCCATTATTAAACTTTCGTCATGAAACTCTTGCAGAATGTGATTTAGCGTTTTCCTGCTGAATCACATTAGATATATTGATTTAAGATCTTTTGATGCTTAAAACCAGTTTCATATTACATAAGAAAGCATATCTTTGCATTAATGATTTGACTAGTTCCGAACAGTCCAAATATACTTCATTGTCTATGTCTGACCCATATGCAAAGAAAAAGCTTCTTTGTATGCAACAGTAGTTTTTCTGTTAGACTTACCTTCTCTCATTGTACTCCGGTTCTCTCCCGGTTCACTAGCGGCCGACCGGTAAAGTCGCTGGATGCTGGTACTTCGATCCGGGTTCAAATCCGGACGAACGGGCAGGTTGCGTGGGTCCTTTTGTCACCAACTTTGTCACGGGTCACCGACCGTTTCCTATTTATTTCCTTCGCTTTGGCATTTCCAAAACTGCAACCTGAGGAGCAGAAGGCTCCCCAGACCACTATATCTATCAATGCCCTCTCACCAACCCCACTCACCTATGTCAGTGCTTCAGCGATGTGGACACTCACAGACGCTTTATTGCACAACATCGTGTGACTGTACATAAGATGTGTCAGACTATTATCATGATTGCAGCCCCTGGGATACGACATCTGCTAGGTCATATAAGACTTTCTCTCACTCAGCTGTCCCTTTTCCATTTCATTACTTATTTATTTTTTTACTTATGTACATTATATTGCCCTATTTATTTATTGTATTACTTTTATGCTTTATATTTACATGCATTGCAATATGTTTCTTGCACCGTCTGTTCCCAAATCTGTAGCCATTGTACAACCACCTAGCCCCTGTAAGGCCATGTTTCTCACCCAACTCCTTTAATTCTTCGATAAGCGCTGGATAGTGGAGGACAAGGGGCATGCACCTGCTTACCTCTGGTAGACGCCAGGTGCCCCAGTTCTCCGTCACCTGTCACCTGGGTCCTTTTGTAGTTCTCCCCATGTGTAACATGGATACGAGCCATTTTTCCTTAGATAGTCCTTTATGAAGGTCTTTCTTCTCTTCGGCAGGGAGCTCTCGCGTGCTTTCATATTTAAACAAACTAATCCAGACCAGATTGAGGTCCACCAGCGGCCGAGCGATAAAAGTCGCTGAACACTAATAGGTCGACCTGGGTTCGATTCCGGGCGAACGGCACGGCCGTTTTCGCGTTTTTCACCATGTCTAACGTGGATACAATACAGTTTCTCTTAGAAAGTCCCAACGAAGGCATCCTTCCTCTTAGACTGTTGTACATTTCCCCCGGGGTTCGACGTAGAGAACTCTGCGAAGCTACTGGCTAGGATCTGTACCTAGGCAGTCTCGGCCACGGGGGTATAAAATTTATGAACTTGGTGGTTCTGAAGGCTCTGGGAAAGGTCACTCATTGGCCGGCTTCGGAGTCTGGCACGTCCTAGCGCGGCGTGGTACTAGTAGCCGGGGGTTTTCCCCGGGTTCGCTGGGTAATGTCCCACTGTGACGGGCTCGCCCAAGCGACTGGTAGGAGCAACTTGACGACCGGTGCTGCCTGGTGTCTTATCCAGGTGGTGCGCTGCTCCCCTGGAAAGGTAATAGTGGATGTTGAACCTCCACGAGGTGCCCAAAGGTGAAGTGGACCCGTAATGTGATTGAGTTACACGAGGCGGGGGCAGCCCAAATTGTTGTATTGTTGTTAGACTGTTGTACATGGATCAGACTATGATAGATCTCTGACTATCAACAACAGTTCATAAATTTCCACCTCCTTTACTCGAAAACTTCAAGGCTCACCTTTAAGTTTAAAATTTTCTCTTCACAAAACACTAGGTCTTATCGCTGGCTAAGCAGTTAAAGACTGATGAAAACTTGTTGATCGTCCTGAGTTTGAATTCAAGCAAATGGGTTGGCTTTATGACAGATTTTCGTTTGTGATTGTGAAATGTGTAAACCAGCTTCTCGCAAACAGGTCTTCTACGAAAGGCATCCTTACCCTAAGACAGTTAGCCCTCGTGTGACCTGCCAAGTTCAAGTAACCCAACCTCGCAAAGCTCCTTACACACGCTTTGACATTAACATTCTTTCACAAAAATCTGGGTATACTGAAAAAACTTCTAACTGGCTTCTGGAGCGTTCCCACACACGTGAAACTCATAAAGTGTAATATGGAGAATAGACAAATTAGCATCACCTCATTTACCTCTAAATGAAATTAATGAAATATTAATTCAGTGGACTTGTCAATGACAATCTGTAAAAATTTCGATTGCAGAATTATTTTGGTGCACCTCTATGAACTTAAATTTTGGCAAATCCTGCATCACTTTCCGGTCAATCTGAAAGTACGATCTACAGATTAAATCCGAAGGAAAATATCATTTTGCAATGCATTTTACAATGCATTTTACAATTTTAAAAAGTCTTAAATTGAATTTGTTGCGTATTCAAGTTGTTTATTAAAAATATAGAGTAAATAGGACATATTCTTCAACTATCAACTCCTGTCGATAAAAAATCATACCTGTTTTTCTATCGAAAGAGCAGTGTATTATTACTTACTACAGAAAATGGTCTATTTTATTTACCGCAATACCTCTCTCTACCTTTAAAATATTTGAAAGAATTAACATCGAAAGAATTTACCAGCTTCGGCTCTATTTGATTTCTGTTTGATATCATGCTATGGATATAGCCATCCCTCATGCTTTCTTCGAAAACTAATTTTAAAGACCTGTACCGGTAAACACATCAAGACTATATCGGTGTCATTAAAAATGGTCATATTTCAGTACAGCAAAATTGACAGATCACGGTTATGTTGAGATGAGCAAATGATTTCATTCATTTGTTTGTTAATATGCTAAATAACATTAAGTTTTAAACAACTTAATGTTAAGATACAATAACACGCCGAACAAGTATTAATTTAGAGGTCAAACAACAAAAATCAGCATTATATTTTCAAATTTTCACAGGACTAGTTTCGAAGCCCTGTGAAAATTTGAAAATATAACGCTGATTTTTGTTGTTTGACTTCTGGGTTAACTTAATGTTATTTTTAAGGCACTCGAGTAGACTCTCATACGAATAACTTTTTTAATTTCTTAAGCTTCTCTCAAATGTAAGTAAATTTTACTATAAAATTTTACTTTTACCTAGATTTACTTTTACATAATCCTGTAATGTACAACAATGCCCAAGTCACAATTTTCTGCAATATAGGGCTTAGGTCTGAAATAATCGCTCTAACTAAATAAACCTTACGCAGAATTATCAGCATTTAAACAATGAAAAAATAGAGAACTTGCGTAGATCCGATAAAAGTGTTTGATTTCAAGATACAAAACATCATCCTCTTTAATTTTACCATTAAACGATCGCTTTTCATTACCAAAGATTAAATTGAGATCAGTGATTTAAAGTGGAACTCGAATCATTAGAAATACATAACAAGTAAGCAGATTTGAAATCGTAATTTGCTAAGAAGTCTAGTAATTTCGATCGATTTAGTCGATCACTAAATACTGGTAGTTCGATTCGGTTTGGACCCTAGGCGAACGACCTGGTTGCACGATTGATTTTTCTCCATACATAAGTGAATATGAGAGTTTCCCTTTGAAAATAAATTTCTTCATCATCTCATTAAATAAATAAGCCTAGGGTGCTTCGCTATATTTATGGAACCTAACCCTGCTAAAAAGATCACAACCCTAATCATTCAACATCAGGTGAGCCGCTAAATAAGAATTAAAATATTTAATATGTTCAATTTAGTCAAGTATTCAGGTCGAGATGAAAATCCTTTCGCAACTGCAGATGTGTGTTTAACCAGTCATCGCAAAGCACTGGAGGGCTATTTACCTGAGCGAAAGATTGCATTTTCGTGAAATTTTTGGAGGGACCAGTTTGTATTTGCTGTATAAGTGGAAGAAACCACGAATGCGACCATGCAGGGAGTCAGCTTGCTGATTATCAAAACCAGGAGTTTTTGCCGCCCGTTTTGCAGGAGGAGCCCGTTTTCGGCGGTCTTCTCCTTCCGGCCACTGGTGGGTCCCGATAGAGATGAAAAATAACACGATAGAATTAGATTATGACAACACAATGAAGGCTCTCTTTTCCGAGGGTTATTTTCTTCCACGTATTTCTATGGGAAACTCGCTCGTATTTGTGTTACACGTGGAGAAATGCATCTGTCAGCCAGCCTCCTACATAGAATTAAACAATTATGAAGGTACGAGGAATTTTACCATTCCGGTGGACAGAAGAATTGTGGTAAAAGCTAATATCTGGCTAAGAACTGAAAGATTAGCTAGCTGGTAGATTTCCATTACACCTAAAAGCTACTTATTAAAACATTTTGTCTGTTAGCAGACGTTAATTTTCATATTCTAATTTATTCTTCCTTAACATTGCCTCTAACACGTTTCATTCTTTCTCAGATGATCCCACAGAACACTACAATTTGGCGCAAAAGCATCCAAAGGTAGTCCACAGGCTTAAAAGACGACTCGACAAATTAAAGACTCGTGCGGTTCCAGCTGATGATCCTTCTTCAGATGAAAAGGGAGAACCGAAATTTTGGAGAGGCAGTTTCAGTTACGGTTGGTGCAAAGCAAAATAACCTCCAGACTGTACTTGCTGTTAACTTAAATGATACGAAAATTTCTTAAATGTACGATTTCTACATGGAGGAAAAGATGAGAATCTGGATGTAAATAAAGATAACGGTAAATAAATTTGACGTACAACGTTTAAGATAGATACGAAAATTCAGGATGTTGGAATTTAAGATGCGATCTATATTATAAATCCAGAAAAAAATCAAATTCCTAGTTTAGATCAATACAGGACAATCCAAAAGTCGATTTAGAGTGTTTACATTTCAAATCAATCTGATGTGCAATATATGTTAAGTGTGACAAAATACTCGATGACTACCAAAGAGGAGAGATGCTTTACTGAACTATAAGGAAGAGCAGTTCGCATTCATATTACATGTGAGGAAAGGCACTAAAACCCCATGCAGCTAGTCCACTCGTTGGGAGCTAAGCCCAGTTTATAGTATCTGTGCCCAACATTATCTTATCGGACACGGAGGACCTGAATTTACTATGTAAAGTAAATGCTGTTAGCATAGAAATGACAAAGCACGCAAGGGCTCTCTGCATAAGAGGAGGGATGAGTTCGTGGAGGACTTCCGAATGCCAAGCGGCTCGTAGTCACGTTACATGTGTGGAAAACCATATTAACGGGGTTACAATAAAATAATTTCATTATGCAAGTACTTTAATAGCAGCTGTATTCAGTACAGAATACTTGTACTTTGGAATCTAAACCAGTCTCTGCTCAAATTATGACTGTCCCGATTCAACATTTGGCTGGAATAACTTAACGTTTTTCCTAACTTGGAAGAAAACAGGATTCGGATTTGTTAAACATTCATGCAATACCTCATGTTGCTTCTATGATACTAACATTTGCTCTCAACTTTTGGACAGAATTAAGCGGTAAGCTATCATTTTCAACATGAATTACCATCAATATCTCAACTAACAGCTTTTGTTTAACACGTTGAGCGCGGCCCCGAATTTGCTGTCCTTTCCGTTCAGGCGGCAGCGAACTAAGCCGCATTTTTGTTTAGAATGTTTCAATACATTTCATTAAAATTAAATTTGATCACATTTCAATGAGACTATATTTTTTAACTTTAAAACTGTCGGTCCCGCAGACCGACGCCAGCCAAACGAAAATTCCAGTGCCGGCCACACGGAAAGTTCACTCACTGCCGGTGCCCAGGGACCGGCGCCGCGCCGAGATCAACGTAGAAGGTAAATGTTAAGATTCTAGGAGACGGCAAGCATTCACAATTCCTTCAAAAATGCCGTTTCCTACTGTATGAAACTTGTTCTTTCAGGCAGAATTAGAGAACTGGCGCATTCAATTTTTATGATGTATTTATGTATTGTAGTTGCGAGAAAGATAAAACGCTTTTATAACTATAAAGTTTTACGAACTTGCGTTGCTGTAAAAATTCACTTAAATGCAGGTTTAAATTTTTGATTTTTAGATCACCCTTTGAATATTTAGAAGATAAATTTATGTGTCAAGCATTATTACGTTTCTTCAGATTACTTAATTTTACTTCAAAGTAACATTTTTATTAAAACGAATGCGAAAAAATTTAGGCCGATGGTATCAAATCATTGGAAGCGTTTGCATACGATATGATGAAAAATCTGTAGCTAAATCTAAGAGGCGTCTGTTGCGAATTAAGAATTTTTCACTTTAATGCTTGAAGTCTATTACACCAGAAAATGAATCCGTTAAATTACTGGCACGGCGTTACCAATTCTCTTCATCTATTAACGAGTTCTCATACTATCAGTAAATAAGAAAAGGTTTCTGTTACGTAGCGATATACTGGCCACTGTAAAATGAAGTTAGAATTTACCCACCACTGCAAAGTTAGCCTTTCATAATCAGTGCCTTTAGTGATTTTGTAGTCAACTATGCAAAATTTATTTTCAACGAAAATAAAACTCAAAAACTTCCCTTGCAACTTAAAATCAAATACACCTTATGTAAATTATTATCCAACACAAAGTTGTTTAAAGGAATCTTACCTTGCAACTACTAGAGTACAAGAGATTGATTTGTACCCATTGACTGCTTATTAATTTGTTGCAATTCAAATAAAAAGAAATCAGTTTTAAAAGTTCACCAAAATTATGTTTTTGTCAAAATACTGCGTTGAATACATAGCATCGATCGTTAAACTGATACGTCGAACTCAAGAGTCGATAATCTGTTTTTAATAGGTGCTGCATAAGTCAACCGCCATTCATTTGATGAGTTTTATTTCCTTGGTAGTAAGCTTAAGATATTCTATTTTGAAATACATAACTATGCGGTCTCAAAACTGCTATTTTGCAAAGATAATGAATATGGTATAGTAAAATGCCAAGAATGCGATTAACCTTTTTATTGTAGAACTTCAGTAAATCCTGAAGTTTTTCATTTCACGTATTGCTTACCTACGCGAGTATATTAGAAACAGTTCGTTTTGAATTGCTGTCTGTTATTCAGAAAAAAAAGGAGGACTAAGCAGTTTGCTATTAATTCAGATATTCTTGTGTGTTGTAACTGCGGTATGTTGCAACTGGTGTAGGCAACGTGCTTAGAAACTATTTAAAAATGTTAATGTCATGAAATTTAAGTACACTAGTTTCCTTGTTCAAAGTCGCTGGGAAGCAGCTTTAATTATGGAATTTATATGCACATTTTGGTATTCCCTATTATCAAACTGTCGTGTAACGCAACATCCAATTCTCCAATTCCTGTTTCTATACGGTTTGTTTTTCAATTTCTGTAACGAAAGTCTCTACATTTATCCCAGCTTTCAAATTCTTCCCACTTTGCATTCCAGTCATTAAGAGTGGACCCATATGTACAGGTTGCATCGTCAGTAATATCATTCCACCAGTTATGTAAACTAGGAATAACATTTCCAGCTGACAGTGACTGAATTATTTCCCTGCCTATCTATCATTTTAAAAGTGTTCGCAAGGAACTATTCATTGGGTTCATACAAACTGGAAACCCGTTGTGAAATCGAGGCAAGCTTTTCAGTATAGCAGTTAAAGTACAAAATTAATTCTTTTACGCTTTTTACCAGACAAATCCATATGCCAAGTGTTCGAGTTTTTGAACAAACTGTTTGGGGTTTATTAGTTTTATATACAATCAGTCATGTTGAATGAAATATCCGCTTTCTGTACATTTAAGCTTCCAAATGAAAATGGGCAAAAATCAAGCGATACAATGAAAACCAGTTCCTCGAATGGGAGTATATAATGAAATTAAATAATTTTCGAAAAATCAAGATTACCAAAAACAATTTCATTATTTTCAAGAAGCTTCAGAAGTATAAATAACAAGGCTTAGATTTGTGCTGCGAGTAGTATTTGTATCCAATAATTCACAGATAAACACAAGCGAAAAAATTAGCTTTTTATTTCAATCTAAATGCAAAGATTTAAATTATTGGACTTGTGCTTTAAGCACAGTATCTATGCAACATAAAAATTGAAAGCAGCCTGAGTAATTATGCTTACAGCTATACACTTCAGTTGTCAATTATCTTCCAGTAAAATATGGTATCGTTAAAGAGCTTGTGTTAGAAATATAGAGGATTAATAAAGTACCACAAATATTTCATAACTCGTTTCAAATCATACGTGCAAGAAGAATAATGCTGGAGGCAAAGCTGTCTACCATTTTGTAACCCGGCTCTGAAGGATTCTATATAAGGGAATGTGGCACTGTTCCATGTAACCGGTGGCACAGACCTGAAATTAGAATATAAAAGTTACCGTTTTGATCATGTCATTGAAATTCACACTAAGGCTCAATTTTTAAAGCAAAGTTAAAATCAAGGTGAAAATTTGAAAGCTGAGAATTCGGAGTTTCACAGTATTATAACAAGTCTAAATACTGAACATCACAACCACTTCGAAGAGATACGCCGATATAAAACAAATGTGGGCAAACCTTAGATTGGAACAGAATTTATATGAAACTACAGACATCGAGGACGAATGATACACCTCTTCAAAAAGTAAAGAAAATTATACTTCTAAAGAAGAATATTTTTAGTCTTGAAGAGATCCAAGTCAGCAGCCTTCGGGATCGGTTTCACACAGAATTACCGTTTTGGCCATTTACGTATTAGAGCAACCACCTTAGTATAAATCGCTAAATTATCAAGAATGCCCTAAACTCTAGCAGACATACATAATAGTGCAGTGTTATGCAAGCAATGCTGTCATTTTCGTATGCACCTTCTTTGTTTTGTTGTATTAGAATAGCTTTTGCTAAATGATAGTGATTCTCTTGAACTCATTTTTAAAACATGCGCTTGTGAGATTTCTTCACATGTGGTAGAAACTGGTATAAATCCTGCAGGAATAAAATATTTTGCTGCAAAACAGCTGAAAGGTGCAATTGCTTTTAAGCTCTGTTAAGGAAATAGCCACTAAATTTCTACCGAAGTAAAAGAAATAAAAACCAGTTTGTAAGTAGGTTATCGACTTTCGGGATAAATTACAATATGCATGATACTTATATAATACGCAAGATGCAACAAGTATAATTTTTAATTATAAACCATCACTCTTTCTTTAAAAACCGCAACTTACGCCAAAACATTTATACTAATGCGCAAGTACGCCAATTTTTTGTTCCGGGGGGGGGGAATTCTAATTTTACCAATTAAGATCTTGGCGTTCCTTACCGACAGTTCATTCAAGGGTTATTTCCTTAACGATTAGATACGGATACCAATATAGATACAAGATAAAGCAGTTAAAGGTATTTACAACTAAATAACCATATGTTATAACAAAATAAGTAAATGTTTGTCATGTACTCTGAGCAAATGTTTGCCTGTTCTGTTTAATTTTTCTGAAAGTTTCTTATTGTTCGAATAGTGATTTCGACAAAACACTAAAGTTACCTGCCGTAAGCGAGAGAGATGCCTTCAACAGGAGACATGCAAGGGAAACTGGTTCGTATTCATATCACATGGGAAAAACACGAAAATGGCCGTGCAGCCAGCTCTTTCGCCAGAACTTCAACTCCGGTCGAGCTACCAACATATAGCGGTCTTATTCGTTCAGCCGCTGGTAGGTTTCTTACAATTCTAAGCTTATTTTAGCAAAGCACTCGACGGGTAGGACGAAATACCGTTTTTAATAATTAGTGTTTGCACTGTATTATTTCCAAGAATAACCTTGTAGGAGGAATCTTAACACTACTGTGTTATACATTTCAAAGAAATGAGAATGCCCATCAGCGGCCGAGCGGTAAAGTCGCTGTACGCTGGTAGTTTGGTTCGGCGATCGAATCGATGCGAAAATGCTGGCTGCGTGGGCATTTTTGTGGTGCTTCATGAGTAGCGTATATACAAGCCAGTCTCCCTTAGAACGTCCTCCACGTAGGCATCCCTCCCCTGCGTCAGATAGCCCTCGAGTGGTTTGCCGCAATTAAACAATCAAAAAAATCTGAACAGCGCCTGCCATCGATTCTATTTTTATCACATCCCTCACTTTATATGCAACCCGAGAGATAGGTAACTTTCTTGCGTGTTTAAATACGAGAGTTCTTGTTACCAGTAAAACTTTAGAAAGGATCTAAAGAAGCGCATTTTCTGAATTCAACAAAAGTTGAAATTGATAATATATTCCAAGTTTAAATCATATGCTTAAAAGCTAAGGTGAGAATATGCGAGTAAAGATAGTAACTTTCTTGAGGCTAAAAATCACTTGGTGAGTATGACCTAAATGAGAAATATACTGCTGGCCAGAGCTCACTTTCTGAAATTACAGGTGCCGGAGCCCTATGTTAGGCCGTCGGGATTGAATAAAAAATTAATATAAATAAAATAAGAAACGAGCGATTAAAATTAAAGCAAAGCCTAAGGCGTCGTTAATTTAAACAAAATTGTACGTTAATGAACGTATTGGACAAATCAAATGAATAATAAATGCTATCAGGAATTCTATATTACAGAATGGCGCATGTTTTCATTTAATACTGAATTTGGCAACCAGGGATGTCATGGGAGTCAATAATCGAGGAATAGAATAAGCTTAAAAATTTTCCGAAATTTCAAGACAAATCACTTTGTATTCACATTCGAAAAAAAAAAAAAAAAAAAAGGCAACTATGCCGTCGTCAGTTCCTTCTCGTCAAAAATCAAATCTAGGAAAGAAATAGCGAAACTCAAGAAATGGAACATAGGTCAAACATGCTTCTGGTGTTAAATTTTAAGTGAAGGGGAAGGTAAAACAAAACCGGGAATCTTTCTTTGAAATAATCACGAAAGCAGTAATGGTATACATTTCAGTAAATTTTTTTTTTTTTTTTACTTCTCATCTTACCGCATTTTTATAAAATGATCATTCAGAAAGCGTCAATTTTATGACATCCTGTATGAATTCAGTGGCTTCAGTTATGTGAAACTGAATTTGTATACCCCATGGTTCATTGTAAAGAATTTTCGATTACAAGCATACCTCCTTAATCGCATATACAGTTATTCAATAAAGTCTGCGTACATCAAGAAAAGTAATATCAAATCCAAATTTTAAGGTGCGAAAAGGGTAGTTTCTTAAAATTTTATTTTTTAAATATTTAGTTTCAATAAGGGACTTTGAAATTATTTAACTAATATTTTCATATCTAATAATTTATGCACACTAATTTTTAAAAGATAAGTGGCCAGAAATCAAAGCCAATAAAGTTTGCGTACAACGCGAAGGAGGCGGAGGATTTCTTACCTAACTTTTAAACTTCAAACTTGAGAATGCAAAGAAGGTTACACTTTCAAGGTCAACTTCCGAAGCAAATTTCACGTTGATTGGAAGTTGCTATTTCTATTTTCTTCGACGAAAATGACAACCAATAAGGAAATTCCTTTAGTTACGAGACAATTATCAAATTGAGAGATGAAGGTAAAACTCTTCGTTATATGGGTAAAACTATTGGAAAACCATTTTCTAGTGTGCAAAGAGTTATTCAAAACTATCTTGACACTGGTAGTCTTGTAAAACCAAGATGTGGGAGACCGGAGAAGCTAACGCAGAGAGAAGAAAGAAAAATTCTTTTACGAACAAAATCCTAAACTTTCTGCTGCAAGCATTGCAAAAGACATTTATTTAACTAGCAACAAGGAAATTTCTCCAGAAACTGTACGAAAAGTGCTGCGAAAGTCTGATTATCATGGACGCAAACCTAGGTCTAAGCCATACATTTCCGAGATAAATGGAAAGAAAAGAATTGCTTTTGCCAAAACATATTTAAACTCTTCGCAGGACTTCTGTAACAATGTAATTTAGTCAGATGAAAGTAAATTTACAATATTTAAAGTTAATGGCCACCCTATTGTATGGAGAAAACCAGGAACAGAACTGAATCTGAGAAATTTAAATCCAATTGTCAAACATGGAGTTGGCGGTGTGATGGTATGGGGGTGTATGTCGTCGAAAGCAGTTGGAAATTTTCACATTATTGATAAAGTCATGGATAAGTATGTTTGGTACTTTTCCGTTTTGCCGGCGCAAGCGATGAAGTCGCCAATAATGGTACAACCGACGCCAAACGGAATATTCTCGCTGGTAACCTATTACGCCTCATTTTCCAAAATAAGTCGCCGCTTTGTCTTATCAGATTGATTGTTTCTTTCAATACTAGCATATAATTACATAGAATTATCAGATAGTTCAGTTTTATGTCTAAGGGCATTTTCGGTAATTAAGTCAATCATGATGCAATCACAGCGCTTACCTGAAACCGAAAATATAGAAAAAGTAAAGTCAAGGGTTAAATTCATCAATTCTGATGAGAATGCATTAACGAAGTAAAGAACTGCAGTTTTACATAATTTCTGTGTAAGCTATTCGTAAGAATTGAAATATTTCTTGCATTTAAACTTGTGTTCCAAATTAAGATTTAACTTGAAATTAATGTAGATAATTATTCAGAGAGTTAGATTTTTGTAGCGTAGTTTGCGTGAGATGAGATCACTTGGGGTCACGTGATACTAACCGGCGAATCCGGATGTTGAACCGTGAAAACATAGTAAATTCTTAAATTTATATATTTTTTACAAATTTATTGTCTTAAATTTTTGGCGTTTTACAAAATTTTAAGAGATATTAAAATGTTTATACCTTCAAAAAAGAATTTTTAGAACTAACATTTTTAAAATATTTTTTATGTGTATACCGTATGTTGTCGCCAATAAAGTCTGCTTGGCGAGATTTGCGCCGGCGAAACGCAAAAGTACCATATGTTTACCTGGATATTCTGAAGAAAAATCTACGAGACAATGCCCGAAATTTAAACCTTTCTAATACCTTTATTTTCCAACAAGATAACGACCCGAAACATACAGCTAAAATTGTGAAGGAATATTTCCTCTATCACACTCCAAGACAGTTGCGTACTCCTCCACAGTCACCAGATCTCAATACAATCGAACATTTGTGGGCAAAATTGGAGAAACGAATTCGAAAACACAATATTACGTCGTGAAATCAGCTAATTAGTAAATTGTAGGAAGAATGGGCGAAATTTAAGTCAAATACACTGAAAAACTAGTTCAGTCAATGCCCAGACGTCTGCAAGCTGTTTTGAAGAATAAACGATATCCTACAAAGTATTGAAGTAATGTAAAAAACTTATATTTTGCTTTTTTGAAAAAAATGTAAAAAGTATTACTGATATTATTTACTTTTTATTTAAGCTTACAATTTTAGCTAATAGAAGAAAAAATGCAATGATTAAAATACATTCTTCTATGCTTTAAGTGTTTTTTTAATTTAAAATTTAGTCTGTACGCAGACTTGTGACTAACTGTACTTCAAGTCTTACTGTGGGTATGTGAAATCGCAAGATGTACTGAACATGATTTCAGAGATCATCTAATCTAGAGCTCCGGTGCTCTTCGGCTAGAACAGATGTCTTAAAAACTGAAAAGCACCAGCGCAGTTTTAGCGCTATAGCTAGTTACTTAAATCCGAGGAACAGTTGTCAGTTCCGCATCTTTAGTAGACTCAAAAAGGCCTCGCGATTTCACTTGTTTTACAAAAAATCAAAACCCAATTTATACAAGGGCAAACGGGATACACCACTTGAAGATAAGCTTCAAAATCCTACCATATTTGGAATATAAATTTACGCACGTAGGTTCTAAAAAAATTAGAGGCACAAAAATTTTAAACTCCTGTAAGTTTTTCTTATTCTGCTTCATAAAGCAGTTATTGGGCCATCATCAAATTGCATTTTTATTGGCTAGCGATATTTTTTTTATCTCTAAAGCAAGATTAGGGAAGTGATCTATAACAGGAAAGCTCGCTAGAAGTGAATTCAATGGAAAACCTTAAATTCTACATTTCATTCATATAGTTAGAATATTTGACTGCATCGATTTGATCTTACCTTTAAATCTCATAGTCAATGAGAAAATAAGATCATACTTCAATATATGCCAAGTTTGCATTTTATGCAATTCATATCAAGTTGAAACCATGAAAACGAAACTTTAATTAAAAATATTGAATTAACCTCTCATAAAGCAAATCAATTTGCATCAGCGATACCATTATGTTCAAATCTTATTGGGGGCGTCATAAAGTTTTTACTCTTGCCTCCAATTTGTAAATCGGTCGTTGCTAAAAAATTACTTCAGTAGCAAATTTTAACTAGAACGAGCGTTGGTAACAAAAGTTCTCTATGAAAGATTACAAAATGCTTGTTTACAAGATCGCAAGAGTGACCAGTAAAAGTCATGAAATTTCGCCAAAGCGAATTTTGCTTTCATGTTATTGAAAAACTTCATAAAAACAGTAGTGCACAGTTTTTTGGCACTTATAATTCAGCCACTTCTCGAAGAAATTTAGTTCACATTTTACACAAAATTATTTAATAATTTTTTTATCTAAACAGGTTAAAAATGAAAGTAGTGTTACAGCTTTCTGCAGCACTTAGGTACTTAATGTCAGATATGCCACTCGACAGTTCGCTAGCAACGAAAGTTTAAGCATGAAAAAAAATCACTGCACGCAACAATTTGAAAAGGATAATAAAAAATTCTGTAATGTAATTAAAAACAGATTCATTATCCAGTTTCTTCTGAACTTTTTACTTCAAAATCTATTTCACTGCTAATAAAAATTTTAATAAAATTAAAACAAGATGACATGACAGAAACTTTAAGCAGGTAAGAAAGGTACATGTGTAAACCAATCAAATGTAAAGTACCTATATAAAGAACTTAATTTTAGAAGCAAGATTTTTTTTTAATTCTGTAGACCGCCATGAGGCGAATATTTAAAGTAAATTTTTCTCAGGACAACACATTTTAATTCTATGAGATACTGCCTCTATTTTGGACGCCAACAAGTCATTTTTGCCTTTAGTTTAATAAATTTTCTTCGTTCAGTTTTCCCACAGGAAACGAACTATGCATCAGAGTGCTAACCAGCAGCAATTTTGCTTTTAAACACAAAGCTATAGGCAATTTCAAGGATTTCAGAGCGAGCTGAACTAATGAAAAAGGTATTAAAATATAAAATTACTTACTGAATATAGTGGTTAATTTTCAAACCAATCACTCCAAAAGACTTCGGATTGGATCCAATCTCACACAATAGCCGGGCAATGCACGTGTTTTTATCCATCTGGTTCAGAACACCAAATAGCCTCTCAGAGTAGATTCGGCCTTCAGCTTGGGAGTAAGTATAGTTACTTCTTTTGCGGAAGGATTTATCCGAGCCGACTTCAACGATATCGTGGTTTTTCATATAAGCTTTTCTGATGTCTGTACCTTGATCACCAGCAGATCGTAAACCACTTGCATGATACAATGAATCCGCATTTAATCTTATTTTACCACTGACACCTGTATTAATCAGAAAATTTCTGATTGGGTAAGCTGACGCTAAATAGCCAGCGGCTGCGAGTAGAGTACAGTTGATATCCGAGATGATGCAGGCCAACAAAACTTCAAGAATGACCAACTGAATGAAGTAAAAGCTTTTCATGTTGTACCACTTTTCCTAAGGATAAAAAAAAAAAAAAAAAAAAAAAAAAAAATGATATCAAATGATTATATTTCAGTACTTTAAAGGCTTTCGGTTTTTCTTTTTTAAAGATAAAAACTGAAAGCTCTTCCTACTGAAAAGTTCAAGATATTTGCCCGCCCTAAATTTTCACATAGATAGAAGGAGAGAAAAAAGATGACTTTAAGCATATTAATTTACATCATCTTTTAATGTTTTAATAGTATAGTTTTAAAATTAGAACAATATTAAAACTACTGGAAAAATTCAAAGGGCATATTAATTTATGTAACGTTTAAGCAAAAAATTACATTAACTTTCATGACATTCTAAGAAAAATAAACAACAGATGATATCAAGAGCGGTGAAATAAATCATTTTACGTTATTCAACAGAAAAAGGGAAAATAAATACTTTAAACCAATTTCTTAAAGCAAAGTGAGAAAATTTACGAAATCACGATAATACGTAACTGTTATAACTTCTTGAAAAAATCCAGTTAAATATTTACTTAGCTCAAGCTTAACCACACAAGATACGAGAACTCAAACTAGTACAAATTGCGTCTTCAGTTAAATGCAGAACTGCCACACGAATAAATTTTGCTTCCAATCTTACTAAGCGAATTAATGCTTCTACAGCCGCCTTAAGGAGTATTATGTTAATTTGGGCAGGAAATTTTCCCCTTTCGTTCTTACCATGCGGCATTTCTTACTCACTTCCTATAGCTGAACAAAATTTTAAAATATTGGCTAGCTTGGTTTATTTTATTATTGCAAAGCGCTAGAGGACTATTTGCCTAAGGGATGCCTTCATAGAAAACTTTATAAGGAAAACTGTCCTGTATCCACATTTCATAGGGGGAAAACAAAAAAAGGCTAATACAACCAGCCCATTCGCCGGGATTCTAACCCCGGTCGAGCTACCGCTGTTCAACGACTTTACCTTTCGGCCACTTGTGGGCTAAGAATAGAAGCAGTTGGCCTTTGTGTATTCAATAAAACTATAAATGAAATCAATAATAGCGTATAAACACCATTCTTAAAATACACTACCGACATTGAAAATGCAGCGCCAAGAAGGAGTGGCCAGAAAGTGATGAAACTCGGCAAACAGAGAGAGACAACAACGTACAATAAGTGATCTTTATTTCAAAATGATATGCATAATACAGAGCGAGAACAGCGTTGGCTCAGTAGGTTGTAGGACGACCTTGCGATACATGAAGCAACTCTTCTGGGTACAGAGTCAATGAGACTACGGATGGTGTCCTGAGGAAAGGCTTTCCATTCCTGTGAATCATTTTCCACATTTCGTCTTCTGAACGCGGCAGTGGCGTCCAATCACAGCTCAGATGTGTTCGATTGGTGATAGATCAGGAGAGAACGGTGCCCAAAGAAGCATCTGTACACCTTGCAGAGCACGTTAGCTGTTGCGAGCAGTGGTGAGTTGGACGTTATCCTGCTAATAAAGGGCACTGGATACTCCCTGAAGGTAGAGGAGTATCACCAGTAGCGTCTCGCCCTAGCATTGAAGTTGCTTCGCGCATGCGCAATGACAAGCTTCGTTGGCGTTTTCGGTTGGTGTCCGTTATACAGAATTGTCGATATATCATCAGATTGGCAACTAAAGACATGTTATTCCACTAAATATTGTTACGTTGCAGAAGTTAAGCCTGAATAAGAAGTTTGAAGCGTAGAAGTTAGTTAAGGTGTTACTACAGCGTCATTTTAGTAATGGAAGGTAAGTTTGTATGTTTGGAGTGTTTGAAGACGTATTCATTCTGACGAAATCTACGGGTGCATATTACTAAGTGCCATCCATCGAAATTAGAGGAATTAGCACCTTCATTAATAACTGTTCCCAAATTTACATGTAAGGATTTTGAGAAAGTTTTTTCAAAACCTGCTTCGTGCACATGAACGTACAGAGCATGGTAAAAGTTACGCCCCTAAACTCACAGAAGGTTGTAAATGTTACAGCTATAAGAAGTGCCCGTTATGTGACTTTACATCTACAAAGACAGAATTGCTGAAGCATTTTGAAAACGTCCATGATTAAATGTGAACTCAGGATTTGTAGTTCCCTTCTTTTCAAGAAAGTCTATGAAAAAAAGGGCATTGAAACGGAGACAAAATGCAGTTTTATAGTCGAACGTGGTGCCCAAAAAAGAAATTCAGATACCCACTACTTTTTTGTGTGTCATCGTTCTGGTGTTTATACACCAGAAGGCAGTCGTATTAGACATTTAAAACTATAGGGGTAAAAAAAAAATAAATGGATTTTGTCCAGAAAGTATTACAGTTATTGAAACTGATGGAAAATGCTGTGTTGAGTACTTAACGGGGCTCATACACCTTAAACTCCTTATGATCTTTGAATATGTGACTGTTTCAAGAATTAGGGTAACTTATTTATTTTATAAGCAATTACTTCCAACTTTTTACAGCTGACTACATAATATAGCTGCTTTGGTAATTAGTAACCAGAAAGTTTGTGTTGCCACAAATATATTTGTAATTTAATCCGCTTTGTGACAAAATTGTTTGTCATGTTTCCACTTTGCGCGCATGATATTTTAAAAATGGCTAATGATACATACTTGAAATTTGTTGGAATTCTTTATATGGGCACTATTATATAACTGAACCAAAAATCTAATAAATATTTCAATATTAAAAAATTTTATGCACGAAAACCTTACAGATTTTTTAATAAAATACATTTTGTAAACTCAACTCCGAATAAAATAAAAATTTAACATGAAATTCTTAGAATTTTTGGTTCATTGTAGTTTCCAAATGTCATAAAAGCTGTATATTAAATATGGAATTAAATTATCCAACAGAATATTTTTAACTGTGCGCGCAAGATGGAAACATGACGAAACATTTTGTCACAAAGCGTATTAAATTATACAAATATTTGTGGCAACACAAACTTTCTGATTACTATTTCAAAAAGCAGCTATATTATGTAGCCAGCTGCAAAAAGTTGGAAGTAATTTCTTTTAAAATAAGTAAGTTATCCCAATTCTGGAAACAGTCACGTATTCGAAGATCTTATGGGTTTTAAGGTGTATGAGTCTCCTTAAAGACTCATGTTGGACATAAAAATGAAATTGGACATATGTTTCTTTCAAAGTAAGATAGAATGTATTTAGCTTCCAAGATTACTGCTGGTATTTCTTTCGAAAGGATTTTAGGCGAAATTCGCGATTCTATTGCAGGAGATCAGACACGTATACATCCAGTCACTCGCCATGATTTACATAATATTGAATTTCAATTTAATCTGTCATCTAAGACACACAGATGACGCAGTAAGTGTGGACTCATGGGTTCGTGAAATGGAGGGTACAGAAAGTTGTATGCTCTTTTATAAACCACAAGGACAGCTAAGTGACATATACTCAGCTTAACCGTGAAGGTTTTATTCTTATAATTATGAATGAAGCTCAGTGTTACATGTTAGAAAAATTTGGTAAGGACCGTGTTTGTGTTGATGGGACTGACGGTTTAAATAAGTATGGGTTCAAACACTCACCTCAATAACCTTCGTCAGGGGTTTCCATGTGCTTTCTGCATATGTAGCAGAAACGATCAAACAGTAATGACACTGTTTTTTCCGCATATTCAAAAAGCATGTGGAAACATTCAGCCTGACATATTTATGTCAGACACCGCCAATAATTTTTTAACATGTGGTGCCAAACCATGCCAGCTCCAAAAAAAAACGGCTTTTCTGTAGCTGGCATGTGGATACAGCATGGCGAACACAGTTAAAAAAGTAACTAGTAAAGAAAAACAACTGGAATTTTATAAAATACTGCGAACTTTATTAGAAGAGAGGGACATTTCAGCATCTGGAAATATGTTACAAGCAGCAACCGAAACATTACTAAATGACTCCGATACAAATGCCTTTGGGCAGTATTTCCTGAGTCATTATGCAAATAATGCCACAGCATGGGCATATTGCCATAGATTACAGTGGGGCATCAATACAAACATGCATCTAGAAAGGATGCACAAGATAATAAAGTATCTCTACCTCAATGGAAAAATAGTTAAACGACTCGACAAGTCTATAACAATTATAACAATGGTAATGAATTTTATAAACGATAAATTGATCGACAGACTAATTATTCTGAACAAGGGTAAACTGTGCAGTAAGTTACAAAATCTGCGCAAACGCCACAAGGTAATCCTAACTGAATTGTATTCAGTTATTTAGAATGAAAGAGGTTGAGAAGTTTTATCAAGTGATTGTTCTGAAATCTATCTGGTCGAGCAAAAGGTTAAAGATTGTCCTTGCCAACTTACTTGTACTGAATGCAATGCATGTATTCACAAATATACTTGTACATGCGTGGATACAAGTATAAAATGAAATATGTGCAAGCATATCCATTCTGTATGTCAGTACAGAAAAAATAAAAAATGTGATGATCATAATGATTCAGTAGGTGATTTATGTATTGATCATGATGATGGCAAACTTTCCGAGCAGGATATAATTTCATCATAATTAGGAAAAAAAGCACCTAGCACTTCCAAAACTCTGATGGAAAAAGTTCAGAATATGAATGAAAGCATTTTATTTATGACACGTTCGATAAAAACTAATGCTGAGTATCGCGCAATAAAAAGATTGGTTGGTACAATGCAACCGACACTGGATGTAGTGCGTGCCCAGAATGGCAGCTTTTCTGAACTTGAAACTGCTGGTTCTTCTAACAAAAACATTATACCCCAAGGTGTGACAAAGAAGAAAAAATTGATGTGCTCCAGAGGCATTTATTTTCTTTAAAAAGGGAGAAAGAAAAAAAAACACAGAAATTTGTGTAAACCCACCATGGAAGAACTCCAAATCACTGCCTTACAGTTACTAAATGTTGGAGAGTCGAATCATAACACAGGCCATAATAATCAGCAATCATAACAAGGCCAGTATCCCAGCAACACAATATAGAATACTGAACTTCTTCATTGCTAGCCTAGTAATATATTATTTATGCTTACAGGTAATCTTTGTCTGAATACCCAGTAGCTTCGATTATAGCTTCATGACCAAAAATTCCTTGCAATAATTTGTAATTCCAGTTTTTGTAATAACTCATAATAAATGTTACAAAAGAAATAAAAGTATATATCAAGACATCTCATCACTGTATATTATTTAAAATTATTAATTCTTAATACTTTGACTGCTGTGTGCATTTTACGTGGTTTAGCCATGGCACCAAGATGATTTTTTTTATAAGTGTGAAATAAATGAGACATATTAGATACATTTAATTAAATTATTATATGGATTATAATAATATACATATACATTATTACATTAATTTATTATATGCATTAACTTATTATTATATACATATACACTGACTACCAATAAGTATTTGGACACCTGGGATAGAAAAGAAAAACTAACTTTATTCAAAA